GGTCTAATCTTTGTCGTACTGTTTGTATCTTTGATTACCGGACGAAGAGGTAAGTAATGTGACTGAATATTTAGTTCTACGTCAGGCACGCGTTCTATAATATTTTCAGATTGCCATTCAGAAAATACTTGGTCATACTCTTTAAGATACCCAGTAGTTTTAAGTTTCTTTTCAGTAAATTCTAAACGTCGTTTGGCCATATTGTAGTTATGTGGCAACGGCGGATGCCCTTCGATCCAAGGAAATTTAATTTCATAACGTCCTTCTTCATTTATGGTTACTGTTTCTTTAAAAAACTCTTGTGCAGCAGCTTGTTGTTGTAACTTGCCGTCAGCTTCACGTGAATCTGCGATTCCCAAAACGTCAAGCTGCCATAAAGCAGTAACAGACGCTGATGCGTTTAACAAATTAGTAACCATCATGGAAACGTTAGGTACCTTCGTTCTTATCGGCGTTTTACCCATCAATACCCATCCCAATAACGTTTGCATAGCTACAAGCCCACATTTCAAGATATGGTTTTTCCCAGTAAAAATCTTGCCCGCTATGTCTGCCCCGATTAATAACGAAATCGGTTCATAATTATCGATGTCGGTCAACGTAATTTTTCGACGATTTACCTCTTTATTCCATATGCCTGCAGAGACCGGAGCGATATTCTTACAAATCGTCTGCTGATCAAGTGCCTCAAAACGACATATATAACTGTCATCTAAACTACCGACTTTTAAGTGATACACGCAGTGCTCCTGTTCTTCTGAAACGGTTCCACCAAAAAGAGCATGTACAATAAATAGCCTCAATTCTCTTGGGCGTACATTTTAATGTGTTGACCACTGATTTCAACACATACGATCTTTGACACCCCGTATCAATCAGAGCACGAACGCATTTTTCTCCGCAATCCCCATAAATTTTAACCACTAATGTTTGGAGAAATACACATGTGTCTGTACAATTCGCTAGATTAGGTATGATTTTACCTTCAGAAGTAACTTTTGGCTCAACCACAGTTTTTGGACATGCATTTTTCGGCTTTTCTAGATCAGGGCACAAATTGACAATATGTCTAGACCCACATAAGACACATTTTAACTTGATCTTACATCTATGTCCCTGATGACCAATTTATGCACAACGAAAACATGCACGCTTATCAATTAAACATTTCTTTTTCTCATCTAATGTCATTTTTTGAGACTTAAAACATTGTTCAGCTGCATGATTCCCATCACAAAATGTGCACTTAGAAAAAGAGGTTATACCTGAATTAATAAGACCGGAGGCTGTACTAGTTTTAGTTTCGACTTTACTTCTGGGTTTCTTAAATTTTTCATCATTGTTGAATGAAAAACCTTCGATGGCTAGAGTGATCCTCTCTTCATTCTCCACTTCTGAACGTAAGAATTTCATTAACTTATCTAATCTAGAATTCATAGAATTGCTAGACGCTGCTGCAAAATCTGACGATTGCTGCCAGGCGCGCAAGAATTCTTCTGGCAGAGACGATTCTACCAACGGATACAACATGGCCGCACACATATCAGTATTCACGCCTAAAGTCTGCAAGGAACGGATTTGAGTCTCTAGTTTATCATACAAACTGGCGATCTCATTTTTAGAATGTGTACCGTCATTACGCAAAACTAGTTTCAACAACTCTCGAACGTAAAATTCTATGAGTAAATCGTCTCTGCCGAAACGCGTTTTCAATCGGTTAACTGCTTCAGAATAATTTCCTGCAGTTGGAGGAAAACCTTCGATGACGTCTCTAGCTTTAGAATTCGGCACAGTCGCGAAAATTAAATATTGAAACTTATCCTCTAATGCAATCGTCTCATCAGTATGAATTTTTTCAAACTGACTCCAAAAGGGCAGCCAATCTCGTATTGACCCGTCAAACTTTTTTAATTCAATTTTGGGTAGTTTCATTTTGCGTTGTCGTTTAGTAAAATCGCTATTAGCATCGCTATTAACCTCTTCTGATGGTTTAATAACAAATCTACTATATCTCACCTTTAACTGTGTAAATGTAGCTACATATTTTTCGGTACCTTCCAACTCCTGCAGCATGGTTTCTTCTGATGTTTCCTCTTCCAATAATTTATCCATTATCTCATCATCAGATTCTCTTAAATAGTCCATCTTTACATGAAGTTGTTCCCATGCAGCTTCTGTCTCTACTGGGTCCCTATTTGAATCTGCTAATAGAGATGTCAAATTATTAGCTACGCGTGTGAATACACTCCGACACGCCGCACGTTTATTTCTAAGACTTTCCATTTTCTAAAAATAGAAATGACTATTAAACTTGGTACCCAATGAATGTTCAACACGAATTCAACGTAAAGCTCACTATTACTGACTAACTGTCCAGCAAATCTCTTGTCGGATGTTAGGCGTATGTAATCTTGTTACTACTGTGCAAACGGTCAAAGTCCGGTACTACACAGCAAAACCACCAATAGATACACGTCCTGTCACGGTCGCCACAATGTTTCGCAAACAAAGAAAATCAGGTTCTTATTCAGTAATTGAGAATAGTACATTGAAATACAAGTGCAGAAACGGTATTATTGAAAAACGAGTATAAATGTACTATTATACGAGTTTTTCAATGACCGTTTCGGCATGCGTGTTTCATACTATTTTTTCTACGAAAGTGAAAAATTCTTCTCTAGAAATTAGAAATTTCAACTAGCCAAATAACGACAAAAAATCGTATAGTCTGATCGTAGTTGGATGTTTCGGATGTTTCAATTGTAAATGATCCAGTAAGCCGGTTGCCATGACAAAACATAATTGTTTGAAAAATCGTAAATTTAAGTCAAACAATTTGTGGCGTAGTGAAAAGAGTCTTCTGTACCCACTGCACCCAATGTAAATTTCCATAAGAGCGCCCGCCATAAAAACTCTATTTGTTTTTCCAAAAACAATTTTTTTTAAGAACTATTTTATAAATTTAGACCTTTATCTACAAAATGTTCGGACTATTTTTTTTTAAGTTTATACCAACTGAATACCGATTGTTTAAAGATTAGATGTTTCGCACCGATTATTGCGCTAATCTGTTTTATTTTTTTACTCTCGATCAAGACGATTTATGGAAAAAGTAAACCGACAGTTTTTTAGATAAGTTACTTCTAAATGTGACCCCAAAAAATGAAATCATAATTTTTGTAAATAAAGTCTGTATCTTGGCGGGCGTTAAATCAACAATTTGAGCGTAACAAGTGGCGCCGCTGCACAGTCTCGGTGGGAACTAACTAAGGACCAAGACAGGAGTTGACAAAGCAAGAATATCATCTTATTTCTTGCAGCTATAATCATCTATACACTATAATGTAAAAAAGTTGCGCTTAGGTAAAGAAGACTCTTAAATTTTGACGAAACTGAAGATGAAGAAGGTATGTGCACCCCGCCGGACGTTGCGGAAATGGCTAATGCGATTTCGCATGAATTGCTACCCCAAAAGTCTAAGCAGCGTTTCGGAAAGGAGCGTTTTCATAAGAGAACAAATCGCTAAGTTTTTGAGAGAAGCGCCTGATGAAACATTTGTAATGATGAAGGTTTGTCAATTTCTTATTGTATTTTTAAATCATAAATAAGCATAATTTAATTACAGGTTGCTCTCGTCCTTGGAGTGGCTGGAGCTTGCCGTCGGAGCGAACGTTGTAAAATGACTGTAACGGATTTCACAGAACAAGATGCAATTTTATTGATACCTAACGATTCCTGACTCCAAGAATCATGCCCCAAGAACGTTTTCTGTACCAGAAGGCAAAGAAAATTCTACCAT